GTGGGGAAAGGTTGGTAGCTTGTTTTCTGATAATCTAACATCTATGTGGGAAGTCACAGAGGTGCGAAGTCTTACTTACCATGTAGAGGAATATAATGATTTTTAATATGAAGTTCAGCAAAGTCTGCTTTACACTGGCATTTTTTTCCTACAAAGCATTTAATACTGAATTGAATTCCAATTCTGAATAAAACATAATATAGTAATTATAAATTTTCTTAGGTTTCTATTCTCAAAGTCCAACTGAGTTCATAGGACATTGTTTCCAAAACTACCTTTTCAATAAGTTGTAGTAAATGCTCCAGAAATATTAGAAGTCATGCAATAAACTTACAAAGTTGGTGTAGATAAAAATACCTGATGAATCAGCAGATTAAATATTTGTACAAAGCACCACAGAGATGTTATTCTTTTTCGTTTTCATTTGAATATTACTTTTTCCCTCTGACAATATCATGAAGGGAAAGAACAAAGTAATATATCCTAGGTGAAAAATTAATGTTACTAAAAATAGAAAACACACTAGATTGGGCCAAGTAGGGATCTATGGAGGAGAAGCAGGAAAGGTTACAGGATGCTGTAGCCCTTGCAATAAAAATACCCACAGAAAGCCCAAAGATGAGAGAGGACGATATTTCCTATTAAAAGAGTATTAGATTGTCCTTACTGCTATCTTGGTAACTTTAGGAAACAGTAACAAAGACTTCATACTTAGAGAGGTGGTAAGTAAAGATAAGAGACTGTGAGAGGAGCTGGCTTCTAGAGAAACTGAGAATAAGATGGGGCATGTGGTATATAAATATTTAAGGCTCTGAATTAGGTAAATATTGTGCTTTAATTATGCAGGAAAGATACAAGCCTCAATAAATTAAAAAAAACCCAACTTTATCAAAGTTGGTCTTTGATGCAGTATATTGGCAAAAAATGTTTCTCTCTGCTTTGTAATGCAAAGAGTATGCATTGCAGGGTATTATCTGTAACAAATGTGAATGCTGGTTTTGTTTGGTGTTGCTTATTTGGATAGTTTGTAAAGTAGTCAGGAACATTTGGTAGAAAATACAAAATACAAACATAAAAGGCAAAAAAGTTCCAGAGCTCCATTTCCAATTAGGTATTTTCATTAAGCAACCAGTTTTCCAAAAATGCTGTAACATGGCAAGTCCTACTGAGAACAATTTGAAAATTTATCCATTTCTCTGAAGTGCCTAATAATAATCTGAGAGCCTTTGATACCCTTGCACAACTTGGTTTTTTTGTTGTTGTTGTTTTTTTTTAATGTTAGATCATTTTAAGTTTGAAGATGAAAGGACTCTCACACCAGTAAGCTTCCATGTGTTTCTGAAATACATGAATTGCCAACCAAACCAGTGACCCAATTTAAAATCCTTTTAATGAGTTTGCTCATGTTCATATATGAAGAATCTATACCAAAACCTTTTTATGTTGAGCTGATCACTGAAACAAGACACTGATGAAACAATACAGTGAACACACCATTGAAGTACATCTCTCCTACAGAGATAGTAACAGTTCAAGGAAATAAACCACATGTAGAGCAAATTTGCTAAACCTCTCCATCATGGTTTAATGAAATACTAATCCAAATTAATCTAACTTCTCTCTCTTAGTTTGTCAGAATCATCCAAATTAATTTTTTACCACTATTACTTAGCTGTCTCTGTCCCATGGATATACTGAAGGACTGGGTACTTTTTTCTTTGAGTCTATATTCCTTTAACTAACATTTTTTTCAGTGTGAATGAAACTTAGTGATTCATGTATTTGCAAAAAGCAAATAAGTATTAATAATTGGGCAAGCTAAACCAAAATTACTTTAATCTAGGCAAATGCAGAACACTTCTGATGTTTACCTTGCTGCTAAATAAACTATCATCACATTGCTTGCATTGTGCTGGGCAGAGCTGGAGAACATTTCTCTACCAACTGGACTTACCTCCCCTTCTGTGGACTGTAAGTGCAGTTCTTTTCTACAAGTAGCCTTTAAGTCTCCTGCAGCTGCATTGACTTGCACTCCTCTGGGTGCTTCCATCACCAAAGATCTAGTAGGAGATTCAAGTCTGAAAGACAAAAACAATCACTGAGAAAAAATGCACTTAATCAAATCAGTAAAAACCACCCAGTCCCAAAATCCACAGTGAATGTAGATATAAATATATTTTTGAAAGATAAAGAACTAAAAATGAGTTATACATGTGATTCACTACTAACTCTTTATGGCCTGGAGAAATAAAAAAAAATTAAGTATGTGTTTAAATCTATTCCTATTTAATAGAGCATTTAAGCATATACTTATATAAGCTTGTCTGCTTAGTGATGCTTTCTGGCATTAGTATCTAATTTACTTGACTAAGTACTAATACTGAAATATAGGTACTTAAGAATCCACACATCTCTGTGAGTGCTTCTCTAATGACAGGTTAATAACTAAAGTCTGCTTAGTGACTGATGACAAATATTCAACTAAATAAAAATAAAACACTTAAAAAGTTTTAAATAATGATATAAAACTGATTAGAATGGCTTTACCTTCACAAGCTCATTCATATTTCATGTAGGTGTAGCGCATTACGTATGAAGAAGAGAGGAAAATAAAATCTGTTATGTGTCTATTATTGTGGGGTTTTGTATGCTTTTTCTGTTCTGCAAAATACCTATTATGCTCTTTAACCCTGTTATAACAGGATTAAAATGCATATCACTGGGTCTTGTTATCTATCCTCAAAGCAGCTACTCTTCTTCTACTATCAGTTTTCCCTTTCTCTACTGTATATTGAAGATCCTCCTTCAACCTTAATGCAGAGCTATGATTCTTTTTTGGCTATGTTATCTCACAGTATTGTATAGGTTTCTCTTGAAAGGGAAGTACTAATGCAAGGATTTTGTAAAAGTTGTGCTCGCACACTGAATAGGAAAGATGATTGGATGAAAACTGCATTGAACTAAGAAACAAAAATTTGGATTCCATTTGTGTTCAGCTGTAGAATTATTGCATAGTCCCATTAAGAGGGAGACAAATCTTTTAATCTATTTAGATCCCAATAATATAATGATAGAACACAGTTTCACTTCACCTGAATAAAGGCTTTTTGTAAGATGAAATATATTGATAGAAATGTCTAGAATTAGTAGCTTGAGGATAATATAGGATTTCCCTCTTCAACAAATTGTATTTTGAGTGTTAGGTCACAGTTGTCCAAAAATATAATAAAGTATTGGATGTATAAAGGAAAGAATAGTTTGACAAAGAATTTGCTATAGAAAATCCAAATGAAAGATCTGTCAAGCAATGGAACAAGAGAATTTCAGTGTATTTCGGCTATTGAATTTTTTAAGTGTACAGAATAGTGATGGATTATCATTTTCAAACCAAAATATCACATTTGCATGTAAAGTAAGTCACTGAGATGGTGTCTGTGAAATATTTGTTTGTTACATGTCACTGCTGCGCAATAGGAAAAGAGGAAAAAAGACAATTATTTGGCAACAAAAAATGAAACTATTAAAAGCAGGTTTCCAGACAGAGGAAAATACTATTCATAGCTACCTATATGAAAAAAAGCATACATGGGATACATATAGATAGGAGCAGTAGAAAAACCTATATTTCTGTTAGTGTTAAGCCATTTTATTTCATCTTTTTGACACTGTAGGGAGAAGTTAATAGAAGGTTCTGCAGTTCTTTGTATTAGGGAAGAATATAAATATCATGAATTATTTAATCATGTACACCCGTGTTTTTCAGGTGGTAGTTGGTGAACTTCTCATGGCTATAAAATAGTAGAAAAAGAGCTTCCAAAACCTTCTAGAAACCATATAAAGCTTAGAAATTAGGTTTTCAAAAGTACTGTTGCCTTAATGACATTTTACCTTGAATTTAAAAGGAAACTGAATTGTATAAATGTTAAATGATTGGATACTTCCATTCCATATTTTGCAGCGGCATATTTTTGCAATTTATAACCTGCTTTCCAGTAATATTAACATTTCTCAGTGGTTTCAGCCGCTATTTCATAATTATGAAGCCAGAACTGCTCTTAACTATACTTGTCGTATTGAATTGGTGGGTATTAGCAAAGTCACAAATATTTCTGGTTTTATAATGTCAAAACCACTCCCAGATCTGACTGAAATTTTTCAGTAGGTGGACAATAAAAATCTGTTTAGGAATATCTTTCAAGAAACTATAATTCTGTTTGAAGAATGAACTTTTTTCCCCAAAACACATGACAGTGTATAGCTCAGAGTTGTTTAGTTTGGCTTCATCTCTGTTTTTCATGAAACATGTTAACATAAATGACTTCTAGTTTGTCTAAAATGAAGACATTTGGGCAATTAAGTTCTGAACTTGAGAATAAGTTGTTGATATCAGCTTTCTACACCCTGTGGAGAAGAAATTTCTTTTTCAAACAGTAGATATTTTTTAGCAGTTTCCTGAAATAAAATAATGTGGTAGAAATGTCAATGAACAGCCGGTGATCAGTAGAGTAGTTTTTGAAACACCAACCAGCTATTAGTAAAACTGAATGCCTAAATCCGTTTTACAGTTACTAATTTACTTTACTTCTTGTTATTCTTCAGATGTTCTACATCTGAAAAGTGACTTGGCTTCGCAATCTGCAGTGTGCTACTGGAAATGTAAAAGTCTATACAAATAGATTATTTCCTCAATGTTTTAAGATAAATTATGTTTGATATGCAGCTGCTTTATAATATTTTTTCTTTGTCATATTTTGAAAGCTTTAATCTCTACTATAAACTTGTTGTAACACTCCACATTGTAATACTCATCCCTCCAAGGAAAAGTGCATTACTACAATAGCATATCAAGAATTTGATTTCCTTTCAGATTTCCTGATGGCCTGTCACAGTGGCATTTACATCTATGAGTGAATCCTATTCATAACATTTAATTTTTCATTCCCAAAACACAAACAGCTATGATGGAGAAAGTAACTACTGCTATTATTAGACAGAAGCTACAACACTGTAGGAAAGACAAAGAGGATTTTTAAAAGGTTTTTAAATAATATAATCTGTCAGATCACTATATCTGATGCAGACAGATGATCTATCTAGAGCAGAGAAGGTCTTTTTACTTTTTAATTATCAGTGGTTAATTTGTGAAAAAGATAAATTTCAGAGGATCAAAGCTATAGGAATTTGAGTTGAATTCATTAAATAATTATTGCTAAAAAAGGAAACTTCAAATATCTTGAATAAGTTCCTTTGAAGGTATTAAAATATTTCTCATCAGAAATGCAAAAACATTTATTTTTCATTTTGTATTTTCTGTTTACAAGCTGACCTAGATTGTATTAGAGAAAAATAATTTTTAAAATGAACTGAAAATGTTCATTTTAGGTTTTAAGAAGTATTTTAAATTTACCTCTTGCATATCCCTTGCACTCACATAGGATATAATTTATCTGTGTTAATTTTGCTCTGTTGGCTAGCAGAAGGTATTTCTTAAAATAGAAGGATGTGAAGATGTGAATAATTTATTTTCTTAATGTCTATTTAAGTAATGGATACAACCCATGCTACTTAGTAAAACAGCTTTTATGAATCTCTACCAATTTGGAATTTGTATTCAAAACAGGGGATTAAAATATATGCTGTCAACTAGAGATTGCACATGTAAAGCAGATACTAATTTCCCATTTGCTTGCATCTTTACACCTGGGAGTCAAGGAATACTTGAATACTTCCAAGTATTTAACTTTTATATATAATGGTCTTGCCAACATACATTGTTGTGGCTGTTTTCAGTTAGCATAAGTTAGTAAAAAAAAAAAAAAAAGATTTGCAAATATAAAACCAATGGAAAACCTACACATTGACTTGGAACCTCTTTATAGATTTCTATAGATTAAAATATTTGTGATATCAGTCTTGTTGTCTGTAGGTAAAAAGTTGTGTCAGACTGGAGCTACAGACGCGTAAAATGCACAAAGAGAAGGCAAATGGATGTGCCAAGCCTGTCTCTATCCCTCTTCCTACCTCCCTGTAAACAAGCACTCCCAATCCTGAAACCTCATAGAACACATGGCCTTCCTCTTCCACAAGTGAAACCATTTTCTTCCAAATTAGAATTAAGAAATTAAAAAAAAAAAAAAAGAAATTGAAACATTGTTTTCCAGAAGCCTCAATTTTAAATATATATCCTTTCAATTTCTATTAATATGAAAAGAACAGCTGGCTGCCCTGACGCTCAAGGAAACTAATTTCAAGACTCCTCCAGTGAGACCAAGAGTCCTTAAAGGTGTTCACTGAACACTGACACTGCTAGAAAAAATTAGGGTTTCCATTCAGTCCATTTCCTGAAAGTCATTCTGCAAACTCCAGTAGTATCCATAAAGAATAACCAGGGACTTCTATGATCACAGTGACAAAAAACCTGGAAAACTTTTTTTAAGATATTGTAACTATTCAAACAGAGGATTCTTGATTAGCTGAATTTGACATCACAGTGGGGATGCTTTGAAAAAAAAATTACTATTCACTCATTTTAATCTCATTACTTATACTATTTAGATTACACATGAACTTTTTAACATATATATAAAAGTGACCAAAAATCTCTTTGATACCTTTACATGTATCAAAATATGCACGTCTGCAAGATGCACATGGATCATTGCCAGAATAGTTATTTTTCCTGAAAGTTGTTGTATTCTGATGTTTTTAACCAAATGCTTGTGTTTTCTGGAGGAAAAAATTTTTTTTATTGAAATGCAAGGGCAAATATGCAGGCTTCCTTAATACTATTCATTAATCATCAGCTATATCAAGAAGCAAAATTCTCGTATGTTCGTGTGAAGCTCTCTTAGATTTATGTGGGAATCTAACCTTTAAGGACACAATTTGGCTCGCTATTTTGTGACTCCAAAACACAAGTCTAAGTAAGAGAAATTAAATAAATGTTTTATGGAATAGGTAGTGGTCTAAACCAGTAAATATTAACATGAGGTTTTTTTCACCCCCAATATCTAATTTTGCAACTCATGGACAATAGACTTAAATAAAGAGGAAACTTTATAGACCTGAATCAGAACAG